GTGAAAGACAAGGGAGTATGCACGCAGGGGGGATGATGTCGGCGAGGAAGAAAACAGCAGCAGCCACGCACGCATGAGACATGACGGCAGGATTACTTGCATTGCATGCAACGCGCCTAGAGCCCACACAGTCGTGCAATTCATTCCTAGACCATGAGGTCTCTGCACACCTTGTCTGTGAGTCCAGCGTCCTGCAGTTCCTTAATCACTCCCACCACGCGCTCATTGCTCTCTGGGTGCCCCTCCTGGTGCCATATGCCATGCCATTGCGTGTCATGTGCCACGCATCGCCATGCCGTGCCATGCCATGCCATGCCATGTGCCGTGCCATCCATGGCAATGCCATGCACCCAGTGGGGGGGTCAAGTGGCCAAAGATGAGAACCACGGCAGCACGACCTTAAACCTACGAGAGAGGTAAGCTCAAACAAACGCGGAACAACCCCAACCGAACCTCCCAATTCCCTCCCTTAACCCCTCTTCGCCATGCCTGCCCCCCCTCCCCTCCCCCCTCCCCCCCTCCCCACCCTTACCCTTTCCCCATTCCCTTCCTTCCTTTCCCCCTCTCCCGCCTCCCCCTGGTCCCCCTCAGCGCACCATGTGGTGGCCCTGCGCGGGCTCCGCGGCCCAGATGAGCTTGAGTCCGCGCAGCTGCTGCGGATCGATGGGGAGAGGGCGCGGAGAGAAGTCGTGGGGGAGCGGGGGAGCAGTGGCATAGGGGGAAGCGGAGGAGGGGTCGGAGGAGTCGGAGGAATCAGAGGAATCGAGGGAGGAGGTAAAGGAGGAGGATGAAGAGGAGGAGGAAGAGGAGGAGGAAGAGACTGAAAGGTGGCGGAGTGTAGGGGAATGGGTCATGGAATGACCGAGCTTGTGTGCTTTACGAAGCAATCCTGCGGAGGCTGAGAGGGGAAGAGGAATCGGGGGAGAAAAGGCAGGAGGGAGAGCGGAAAAGGGGAGGAAAAGAAGGGGGGAAACGGGAGGAAAGGGAGGAGAAGGGGAGCGGAAGGAGGAACGAGAAGGACAGATTGTCAACGAGAGGAAAGGGTGGAGCGAGAGGGGATGAGAGGGGATGAGAGGGGACGAGAAGGCGAGGATGGATGGAGATAGCACGTGAGTACTCTAGTCAGATAGATCGGCACCAGTTCATAAATATGATTCGTGTTTCGCATAGGATAGAGATTAAGGTAAAGGGACGTAAGGAGAAACTGAGACACGACGACCAAGGAAGCAAGGGGGAGGAACGACAGGAAGGAACGGATAGCGAATTTTAAGCGACATAAGCGAATTCTACGCCAGAAAATTAACCTACATAATTGCTCGCGCTGTACGAAGGCGAATTCGACGTCAGGGAATTAAGTCTACATAGTGCCTACGAAATAACTTACATAGTTGCTCGCGCTGCGTTCTGCGGAAAACAAAGCTTCGACGAGCCGCAGTAGTCGCTGGCGCTGCTGCTGTCCCCGCTAGTGTAGCCATCGCTGCTCTTAGCGGAGCACGAACCGCAGATGCCATCACTATTTTGTTTGATTATCTCCTCAAACATTAAGCTCCGCGACGCGGATGGAATGCCAGTTTAGTCGCGCTTCCTCCCACAATATTCGCTGTAGAACAGCGAGAAATGGCAGCAGAAACTAGCCCTGATGTTAGAGAGCCCCACTAGTGGCAGTGCTCCTGGATGCAGGCTTGGCCTTACCACAACAGAAGAGCAGGATGTCTTCCCTAAACGGCAAGGCGATTAGATGCAGAGGAGCTTACAGGAGAAGAGCGTCAGTCCTAACACCAGTTTTTCACATTCAAGCACTACCCTTAAAGCCCCCATCTCATAATTACCAGAGTTTAACACTTGGTTGCGACAGACAGGCACTGATTGGTACGCGAGGTGTAAACAGACTACGAAAACGAAACTCACGTGGCGAGGCCGTTTTGTTTCGACAAAAAAAACTCCAAACCAAGAAACAGGTTTGGGGAAGTTTGGTTCGCGTCAAGTTTAGCACATCGGACGGTGCAAACTCCAATTTTTTGCGAAACAACTTTCTACTTCGTTTATAGCCGTCGATTCAAACGCCCAGTCACTCAACTGTCATATCGAAGGCTCTCGATGATCTAACGGTGCAGCAGGACCGTTCTTCCGTAAACTTGCGGATTCTCATACTGTATTGCTGAACTGGTTTTACGGTTGGTATCCCCCCCCTAGCACAGCACACTGTCTGAGGCATTTCCAAGCCTGTCACTTCAAATTCGCCAGCGTAACTGGGTACCAAACATTTAACACTCGCTCACTTCCTACAATTATGAGAGTGGGGCTTTAACTTAATATAAAAAGTAACTTCTGTAAAACGAACATAATAAGTATAGAAGTATAGAAAAGTTCAGGTGCAGAGAGCCGAATTCCGACTTCTTCACAAACTGAGCAACAACCAGTATTTGCTATCGCCCACCCATATGCATTCACAATATAAACCATTCATGTAAGGAAGCTTGACTCAGAAGTCAACTCCGCTTTGCATCATCAGCCGAGCCGACCAAATACACCCCCCCAGAGCGCCGTGTAAGGAGCACTCCCGGGCCAAGCAACTAGCACCAGTACTGGTACTTTCCCTCACATTATGGAGCACCCTGAGGAGCGAGGGGCGGATGGGGGAGGAGCAGGAGCTTGGGAATGGCCTGGAGGCGGTCCGTAGTTGAAGTCATGAGCGTCCAGACCATACTGTAACAACCACATGGAAGGAAGAGGGGAGGCGGGAAGGGGGGGGGAGAGACGGTAGGAAGAGGATAGAGAAATATGGTGAGGCATGAGCAGGCAGAAAGGAATAGTTATCCAGTCACGGTTGGATGGGTAAGCGGAAGCGAACTGAAAGCGGCACACGCCCACAGAACGAAACAGGAGGCGATACAACAACCCAGCCCAGCACGTCACTGCCCCAAGTCAAAATCCATCCCCATACGCATCAACAATGACAGCATACACCTCCAACCAAGATACTCACTCACACTTTCAGCACGACATCACACGCAACACGCCAGACCCCACCTTTTCCAGCAGTCTCTGTCGCCAAGCATCCGTCAACGGCACGTGCGGCTGCCCCGCCGCCCCTCCACCTCCTCCCACCCCTCCCGGTGCCCCCACACCGTGATACACCCCTCCCAACCCCGCACCACCACTTCCCACCCCTCCTCCCGCCCCAGACCCTGCCCCTGCAGTCGGATAAGCAGGAGCAGTGGGGTAAGGCCCGCGAAACACAAGCGGTTGACGCAGCCTGCCATGTGCGCCCCCTCCCCCTCCCCCTCCCCCTCCCCCTCCCCCTCCGCCGACGAATCCTCCTCCCGCTCCTCCCATGCCACGGCCCAGTCCTCCGGTGATGTAATCGTCATCGTCCTCTGCCTGACTCGCGTCGTCCTGTGCTGCCCGCAGCATCATGGCGACTAGCAGTGCTGCTACCTGTTGGGGGGGAGGGGGAAAGGGGAACAACTATTTAGGCATCTCTAATCTCAAACATCGTCTTTTTCTGCTTGATTCCCATCGCCCTGTGCTGCCCGCAGCATCACGGCAACTAGCAGTGGTGCTACCTGTTGGAGGGTCGGGGGGGTGGGGGGGGATGGGGGGGAGAAAGGAGGTGGGTGTGCATGGTTGAAGGGAGCGGATCGGAAAACGGTACAGGGGCGCACGGAAGTGGCCCGGTCGGAAAAGCAAGGTTTGAATTGATAGAGAAAAGAGCATACAAGGCAGAAAGAACGCCAAAACAGCCTCTACTATCACACACACACACACGTACACACCTCGATGAGCAGAAGGCCACCCATTGCGAGCCTGCTTCTGTCTTGGTTGGCCAGCACATAGCGTTGATACCTGTCGTACTCGCCTGTAGGGTCCACAGGCACGTCCTGAGAGGCGCGGAAGGGGAATAGGGGGAGGGGAAGGAGGCGGAGTGGGGGGAAGGGAGAGGTGAGGGGGCAGGACGGGGGGGAGGGGGAAGCGAAAGAGGGGGGACAACAGCAGGCGTTGTTTGTAAGCATTGTTCCCACGTATGGCACACTGTAAGGAACATGGCTTCTGACCATGCTGTTACGGTTCCATGACATACTCGCCATTATGTTGCGCCTGCGAAGTGAGATGTTGGTTTTCTTATGTTAGCTTCCTTCACATGAACCCTCCCTAAAATGCACATAAAAAACTTGGAAACCTCCCTGAAGCCTCCTCTCAACTGGTGCTTAAGAGTTTTCATCCGGAGGGACTCTTCATCCCACCTGAAGCCAAATGAGTGCCGCTGCAACGCACTCGAACAGTATCAGAAGACATAGACCGAACTGGTACTGCACAGGGGGGAAAGGACGAACGGGGAAAGCACGAACGGGGAAAGCACGAACGGGGAAAGCACGAACGGGGAAAGCACGAACGGGGAAAGCACGAACGGGGAAAGCACGAACGGGGAAAGCACGAACGGGGAAAGCACGAACGGGGAAAGCAGGTGTAAGACGGAGAAAGGCGGGAATGGAAGCGCGAGAGATGAGAGAGGTAGGAAAGAGGACCAGGAGGGAGGCGAAAAATAATAGAGGAAAAAAAGGAAAACAGGAGGGGAGGAGAATGAGGGGAGGAGAATGAGGGGAGGGGGAAAGGAAAAATGAGGCGAGGAAGATGGGGAGAGAAAGAAAAATGAAGCGAGGAAAGAATGGGCTTACGGAGGCGAGGCAGCACGTGCTGTTGGTCTCCGCTGCAATGGCACCCACTAGAGTCACGAGCGTGATAAAAGCACCCACTCCAATCAACAGGTAGATGAACCTGGGCGGGGCAACAGAACGGAATAGCATGCGATGCAGATTTTGAGGCGCCTCGAAAATGGTCTCAGCTGCAATGGCACCCACTAGAGTCACGAGCGTGATAAAAGCTCCCACTCCGATACAAAAGTAGAATGATCCTGGGTGTTGGGGTAACGGAACGAAATAGCATGCATAGGCCCGAGCATGAATAAAGACCCGAGCAGGGTAATGTCACAGCGGCGCTTGAGGAAGGAAGAAAGTGACACGTGTCGACAAATGGCTGGCTCAGGAGAGAGAGCCCAAATGGCCACATGCAAAGACGACGGCGAAGGAACAAGTGCTGACTTGTAGAAAGGCGTGCTCACGTCATCTCTCCACCTCTTCTTTCCTTCGAACGGCATCTATCGGGCAAACCCAAAGGCAAACCCGGCATCCTACCATAATCGCGGTAGTTCGATCTGCGGCGGGCCAGCGAGTCCCGAAGCATCTGCACTGCTCGCGCTGTCTAGTGCGACAATACTGGCGCCGAGCTGCGCGTCGATCTCGCGAAACGACACGCCTCGATTGGCGCTCGACGGCGCAGCGAGCTTTCGCGTGAAAGCCGGGAAAGTCGCCTCCTTCGCGAAATCTTTCGCCACGCTCTGCGAGATAACATCTTCGGAAATCAGGCCGTTTGCGGACGCGGGACCCGGCGCGGGAGCAGGCGGAGAAGGTGGCGGAGATTCCGGAGGGGAAGGCGGAGAGTGGCGTGGCGGAGGGGGGGAGTGAAGTGGGGGAGGGGGAGAGTGCAGCGGGGGAGGGGGAGAAGTGGGGGGAGGAGAGGCGGAGAAGGGGGAAGGAGCGGAGGGGGTGCTGGAGGGGGGAAGAGGTCGGGATCTAGACGGAGGAGTCGGGAGACGGAGAAGACGAGGAGGAGAACCCCAACGAGCGCGAGAGCGAGGTTAAAGAGCTTCAGCAAGCACTGCAGGAATCCACGACACGCCATGGCTGCTGCTGAGCTGAGAAGCTGGCTATGCTGCTAACGTTAGCTAACGTGACACGCTGCAGGTGTCTGGTCACCACGATCTGAAGAGAATGGAAACTTGTGACGAAGTTGCAGTTTGGAATGACGAGAAGCCAACACGGATCGGCAGAGTTAGTGCGAAAGGAAAAGTGCTACAAGCCCGCGGTGCAAGTGCTAGCAACTAAAAGTAGGCTCACTCGACCTAGCGGACGCTACGCCTTTCTGTAGGGCGGTCTAGGTACTAGTTGCTAGGTCACAAGTTCATACCAGTCGACCAGGGGAGTACCCAGGGTAGCTAACCAGCAACAAGCTATCGCAAGCAACAACCCAGGGCTGTCGTTATTACGAGCGCCACAGTTCGCACTCTGCTTGTCCGACGGAACTCCAGTCGCACGGGAAGATAGTCACAGCGGATTGGCGTTTGATGGTTTCCGACCGCCAACAGCACCGCAGCTGCTCGTCGCAGACGGCTGGCGACTGCCTTGGGTTTGCTGCATGTCATTTCGCCTCGTGTTTCGCACGGTGCTGCGACAAGGAGTCGAGATGCTCAAGAGGGCGGGAACGTGGCACGAAATGATCGAATCAAGCTTGTGAGGGTACACTGACTAAACGAGAAATGTTACAGGTCTCATGGAAAGTGAATTCTAGCACATAAATATTTTTTCCTTAGGTCAGCTATGTCACATCTGTTAGGGAATTCCATTAAGCGACATATTCTGATAATGTCTCCTGTCGAGTTTTTATGTAGTCACCAAGAAAAACTTTCATTTTAATAATTTGCGACAAAATGGAAATAATCTGAAATTAGCCTAAGTATCCTACCGCTTTCCCAGTTTGAAAATTGCCTCCTACGTGTCATCACCCAAAAGTCTAGGTGATGCTTATCTTCTTTATGTTTGTAGCACGCTCTAACCTCAGAAAATCCGAAAACACTCGAGCGGGGGGTTTGACAGCTGCCGTCGATTTGAGTCAGGGATGTTGTCTGTCACTCAGCATGGAGTGTTCTACAAAAACCCTCAGTTAGTTTTCCAAACCGCTGGAGTTCCAGCTGACTTGGCGATCCTAGACTATCAGCAGAAAACCGTTATACGTTGAGCTTGCCGGCCGTCTCGCTTGCTGGTCTGAGGCGCTCGGCCGTCAGTTGACAGAAGTCGTCATGGAGGATCGGTGAGATGTGATAGAATTGGAGACAAATGGGAGAAGTCATGGCAAACGGCGAAATTCGCAACAGACTTCAGACCTAATGACGAATGCGAAAATGTTTTTTTTTAGAGTTATTTATAATGGCACAAGTATGATAGATGGCAGAATAGATAGATGGCTTATTGTCGAACCCGTTACTGTTGGCGCCACTGATGAAGGAACCTCCTGACATTTCCTCCCCCTCCCCCCACAAACCCCCCCCCCCCCCCCCCCCCCCCCCCCCCCCCCCCACCCCCTCCTCTCCCCCCGCTCTACCCGTTTCCTCTTCCCACTTCCCTATTCCCTGTGCCATCTCAATACTCCCCCTTCTTCCGTTCAACACGTGATGAACCACCCACGCACGTCTCGGAACCACCTCCCCTCACCGCTTCCCCTATCCGCAGGTTTAACACGCCCACAACCAACATCATAGAGCTCGAGGCCATGGGGCATCGGCTCCGGGTGTCTCAGGTGAATCGCCAACCTTCACCGAATTGATTACTTAATTCTGCAGCTCAGGTGAATTGCCAGGTGTTTTGAGGCGAATACCCTGTTTTAGCTCTTGCTGGTTCTCCATGCCTTTGAAGTGGGCCAGATTACCCATCCTTGCTTTCATTCATCCCTATTCTTCTCACCAGCTCCCCCTTCCCCGCCCCCCCCTCTCCCCGCCCCCGCAACCAGCAACGAAGTTAATTATCTCTCTACCTCCCTCCTCCCGTTCCTCTCCCCCTTCGCCTTTCGTCTCCCCCACCAGGACCCCAATTCCAAGCACGTTGGCACCACAGTGTGGGACTCCTCCATTGTCGTCCTCAAGTACCTGGTCCGTTCCATTCCTCCCCTCCCCTCTCCTCCGGGCGTACCTTCCTGTAGGTGTTTTCTTTTCTTTTCTTTTCTTTTCTCTTCTTAGAATTCTATAGAAGCACCTACAGACAGCAGCAACAAGGACGGCTGCTCCATTGTCGTCTTCAAATACCTGGTCCGATCCGTCCCTCTGTATCTGCACCCCTTTCCCTCACACTCACCCACCCACCCTTTCCCGCACGCTCGCCCTTCGTTCCCCTGCGTCCTTCTACTTTCACCGCTGCTAGGCTGTTTCCCTGTTGATTTTTGAGTCGAATAAAAAATTCACCGCTGCCAGGCTGTTTCCCTGTTTCTTGTTTCCGCCTTCGCTCGTTTCAATCAAGGTGCCCCAAACCGCCCATCCCTACTCCCCCCCCCCACCCCCCACCACCCCACACCGCCCGCCCCCGCCCCCCGCCCCCTTCTCCCCCTTCAACTCCCCCATCTCTCCCCCCGCCCTGCACCAGGAGCGGCACACCAACAAGGGAGAGTTCTCTCGCGCCAAGCTCAAGGGCAAGAGGGCTATAGAGCTGGGGGCTGGCTGCGGCCTTGCTGGCTTGGGTGAGCCTGGTTGGAGGTGCCTTTATGTGCCTAGAGAATAGCAGCAGCAAGCAACGGGACAAAACAAGGGCGGGTCCGCTAACGCCAAGCTCAAGGGCAAGAGGGCGATAGAGCTGGGGGCTGGCTGCGGCCTTGCTGGCGTGGGTGAGCCTGATTAGGGGTTCCTTTATGTACCTTGAGAATAGCAGCAGCAAGCAGCAAGAGTGGGTCTGCTAACTCCAGGCTCCAGGCTCAAAGGCTCCAGGCTCAAAGGCTCCAGGCTCAAAGGCTCCAGGCTCAAAGGCTCCAGGCTCAAAGGCTCCTAGCCGCCCCCCTTTGCATCATTCACTTTTCCAACCCCTCCCCACCGGGTTTCGCTCTGCTAGCTGGGGTGTAACGTGGTGCTGACGGACGAGGCGGTGTTACTGCCTCTCTGGGTGCTCCACTCTCTTGCATGTTCTGACCTCCCTTGACAAACCCCCTCTTCCCCCCCCCTTCCCCCCCCACCAGGGTTCTCGCTTCTGGGGTGTGACGTGGTGCTGACGGACGAAGCGGTGGTGCTGCCTCTGCTGTACCGCAACGTGACCCGCCTGCAGTCCCAGGCCGCCATGGACGCCGCTGCTGACACCTTCCTCGGTGGGTGGTTGGTTGAACAGTGGGTGGTGGTGAATGGAGGGCGGTCATGGTGCTGGTTGGGATGTTTATGACGGCGCTATTGGGAGCAACGTGACTCGCCTGCAGTCCCAGGCCGCCATGGACGCCGCTGCCGACTCCTTCCTTGGTGGGTGGGCGGTTGAATGGGTGGTGGGTTGTGGGTGGGTGGGTGGATAGTGGGTGGTGGTGGAGCGGAGCGATGGTGGGGGGAAACGCACATGTGATAAGAATCGTGTTTGGCGACGGCTCGAAGCACATATTCATTGATGTGTTTGTGGTGAAGGTTTGCGATGTGTGTGTGATGTGGGCAGGCAGCGTGGGGTCAGTGGAAGTGGCGGAGCTTTGGTGGGGCAACGCACACCACATAGCCCATGTCGGCCCGCCTTTCGATGCCATCGTTGCCACTGACGTGGTCAGTACTCCCCCTCCACACACTCCCCTGCCCTCCCCCAACCCAAACACACCCTCACCCTTCTGTCACTCTCTTCCTGCAAATTCACCTCCTCCGTTCCTTCTCCCTGCCAACTCCTTACGTCCCTCCATTTCTTTCCATGTGTCTATGTGGTGCACGCTGCGCACCGCACACACCAGGTGTACGTTGAGGACTCTGTCCCTGCCCTTCTCGCAACAATGCTCGCTCTCTCCCATCCACGCACCCCAATCCTTGTAAGAATCTTCACTGACTTCTGAGGCACCTACTTCCAGCCGACTTTGAAGAAAGAAATCCTCAGTCATTCAACTGCCACCACTTCTTGTCCTGCCTTCCACCTACCAAAAGCTCCTTTCCAGCTCTCTTTCTCAAGCGGTCCTTATATTGATAGAAAGATGGTGTACATGGTGCGTGGTAGGCATGGGCAAGTATAATCAGGCAAGCAGGACGAGATGGGACGAGATTCTCTCTCTCTCCTTGCCTGCTGCGTTCCAGCAGCTGGGATGGGACGAGATTCTCACAGCGAGATTCTCAGTGTTTCTCGGCTGCAAAGCTTGCAGTCGTCGTTTTGTCTCTCCAAGTGTTCACTGTTGGATGCTGCCGCATAAACACCTTGTGCTTAGCATGAGCTGTGCGTGCGTGCACTCCCCATCCTCGCCGCCACGTTCTCTCCCTTTCACCCAATTCCCCCCACCCAACCCCCCTTTCTTGTCTCCCACCTCCAACCCCTCCACCCTCTCCTCTCTCTTCCGCCCCCTCCTTCTGCCCGCCACTCTCATAGACGTTTCTCTCCCTTTCGTGCGCACCCTAATTACCTGCCAGCTGGGGTACGAGTTCCGCTCTGCCACGGTGCATGACCGCCTACACGCCTATGCGCGCCAGATGTTTGACGTCAAGAAGGTCCCTGCCAGCAAGGTGAGCCTCGACTCGAGAGGTCCAATGTTGAAGCGCGTTAAGAAAGCATGTCACTTTGAACCGGTGCATGACCGCCTGCACACGTATGCGCGCCAGATGTTCTACGTCAAGGAGGTCGCTGCCAGCAAGGTCACCTGTGCAAGGTTTTCTTCTTCTTCTTCTTCCTTCTCCCCCCCTCCCCTCCCTGCCGCCCCTTAACCCCACTGCCCTCCCTGCCTTATCTCTTGCACCCCTGAAATTGTTCCGCCTAAGCCAGCTGAACCCAACCGCTCCCTGTCTGCATGCCCAAACTCTCCCAAGCTCTCCCTATCGACGTGTCGTGTGTGTCCTTGTGCTCGTGTGCGCAGCTGCATGCGGAGTACCAGCACCTGTCCATCGACGTGCTCCTTATGAAACGAGCTTTGCGGTGCCTCCAATGTGTTCCTCCCCCCTTCCCATCCCCGTGTGTGTGTGTGTGTGTGTGTGTGTGCGTGTGTGTGTGTGTGTGTGTGTGTGTGTGTGTGTGTGTGTGTGTGTGTGTGTCTGTGTGTCTGTGTGTCTGTGTGTCTGTGTCTGTGTGTGTGCTTGTCCTTGTGTTCAGCTGCATTCGGAGTACCAGCACCCGTCCATCGACGTGTTTATTATGAAGAGAAAGGCCGCACCCACCCTGCCGGTATGCCCTGCTTGCTGCTGTGCTGCTCCCTAATAAGCCCTCGCTGCCAATACGCCCTCGCCGCCTCTCGCCTCTCCCCCTTTGTAGCTCCGTCTGCTCCTTGTCACCACTTCCCTATGTGACGTGACGTTGACACACTTCTCTGCGTCGTTTGTATTTTCCTCTCCTGTGCTGCACTGTCAGTGCCGGCCTGCCTGCCTCCGTATCCGAATATCTCCTATTCACACCCTTCCTGTTACATCCAAACCCTCTCCCCCCCACTCCCCTCCTTCCATCCTTTTTATTCTCCGCGCTTTCTCTTGCCGTCCCCTTCCCCCCCCAACTCTCCCCAGTTCATTCCTCTGGACTTTGGGCCAGCCTGTTATTATTTTGTAGGCGATTTTTTGGGCGCCTAGATAACCCCTTTCCCTCCGCGCTTCGTCGTCTTCCCTCCTCTGCTCTCCCCAATTTCTTCCCCTGCACTCTGGGGCAGCCTGAAGTTAGGAGTATCCTTGAGGAGGTGCAATCTGTGATGACCAATCAGGGCCTGCCATGTGCCCACGTCACCAGTCTACTGGAAAACGCAGCAATCCAAGGAGAATTGGCCAGTAAGCAGGCTTCAGGGAGTGCCCAAGAACATCAAGGTGAGGATGACCAGAGGGAGAGAAACAGGGAGCAGGAGACAACAGGAGAGGAGGACGAGGTGGAAGAGGGGGGGGAATGTGAGGGGGAGAGTGCGTTTGCTCGCCCACCAGTGGATGAGTTTTTCCCAAGCCCTTGCGGCCAAGACGATCAGATATTTGCGAGGAAGGTTCACCAGGAGGCTGTGGGGAGTAGAGGAGAGAGTGAGGGGTGGTTGCCGCAGCAAGAGAATGGGAGTGAGGAATGGGAGGAGCGGAGATCGGGAGCCATGGCTGCGAGATTACTGGCTGATGTTAAAGTTCCTGGTTCTAACACGGTGACGGGTCCGTGACTCGCGTCCCCTCTCCAAATTACAGTTTTTGAAGCGCTAACGCTTTCAAAATTGCGTATTGTGAATGTGAAGCTGCTTGTTGCGCAATTTTGGCATCGTCGAAGCGCGGTAGTCGCCCTTCTCCGACTGTATAAAGGGGCTGGAGGTCATTCTTCCTCCATCCACGTTTTTCGTTTTTCCACAGCTCAAGTTCCATTCCCGCCCATGCAACCCGAGTCACCCAGCTCCCCACTTGACCCAGAGTAGCTGTGCTCCTGTGGATCCTCTACGGCATACTGTAGCCTCCTAGACCTTGGTTTCCCTAGCGTAGTGCAGCATAATGATGCGTTTTTAATCATTGGAAAACATTTGCACCTTGAGAACGTTGCTAATTGCACCTAACATTTGTAAGTGGTAGCGTTGTAATGTGGAAGGGCAGAAGGGGTAAGTACTATTTTACTCTGTACCATCTTTCTCCTTTGTAAACCATCAACTTGAGATGGAACGATGAAGCAGTTAGCAGGGAGGATTTCGATTAAAACGGTTTCTTCGGCTGAAATGCCAGCGCAAAACGCGGCCGAACGGATGGCTGGAACAACAAGCAGGAAGAACGGTAGCGTCAATTACACAAGAGCGAGAGGAGCAGTATGCATTCAGAGCAGGGAAGTTGAGGCAAGCAGTAGGGAGCATGCAGCCTTGATGTGCCTTCTGGAATCTTGAGTTCCTTCAGGCCGAAGTTTTACTCGCACGTGACGAGAACACGAGAGGAGAGAACAAGAGAGGCCATTGTTAGTCTCCAGTCGCTCCGGTCGATCCGTTCTTCCTCGCGGGGTTATGGCCGGCGGGCCAGCAGCAGCAGCAGCAGCAGCAACAGCAGCAACCGTTACTGCGACAGCCGCAGAGGAGAGAGAGCGTTTCTCCGAAAATCATAGACTAAGAACCCGTTCTAGCGCGAAAGTCAGCGCGAGCGAGTTGCGAGACGAAACGGGCGAAGAAACGGCCCGTGAAGAAACGACGACGGTCCCTGCCTCTTTCGGGCCTCTGGAGGAGCCTCTGCTTCGGCATTCCCAGGGATTCAGTAGCACGGGAGGGCAGCGGCGAGAGCAGCCGCGCGGAGACGGTCTCGGAGGGCTCTTGCCGACGCTGCTGTGGTGCTGCTTCGCGTGCCTTGGCGCCTTCTCGTTCGGATATGCGGTGAGCGAGGAACGGGGGGAGAAGAGACGTGGGGGAAAAAGGGGGGAGAGAGAGAGAAAGCGAGAGAGACAGACCGGTTGAGAATGAAAGAAAGAGGAAGAGAGAGGAAGAGAGAGAAAGAGTGAGAAAGAGAGCGAAAGAGAGCGAAAGAGAGCGAAAGAGAGCGAAAGAGTGAGAAAGAGTGAGAAAGAGTGAGAAAGAGAGAAAGAGTGAGAAAGAGAGAGAAAGAGAGAGAAAGAGTGAGAAACAGAGAAAGAGTAAGAAAGAGAGAAAAGGAGTGTGAAAGAGAGAAACAGTGAGAAAGAGTGAGAAAGAGCGAGAAAGAGTGAGCAAGAGTGAGAAAGAGTGAGCAAGAACGGCCACACGCAGGTGAAACTTTCTCCCCTCCCATTCTCTTCGCGCCTCTGGTTTCCTCTCCGCCTCTCCCCGCACACCTCTCCCCTCCTCCCCTCGTCCCCCCTTCCCTCGTCCCCCCCCCCCCCGCAGGTGGGCTACACCTCCCCCGCCCTCGCCTCTCTCTCCGCGGACCTGCGCCTGCCCCCCGCGCTCGCCTCGCTCTTCTCCTCGCTTATCACAGTGGGCGCAATGCTGGGGGCGGTGATGGCGGGGGGATTGGCGGAAGGGGTGGGGCGCAGGGGGGCGCTGGCGCTGGCAGCACTGCTGCTGGCGGTGGGATGGGGAGGAATAGCCTTGGCCCAGGTAGGGAGAGAGAATCTCAGAGTATATTTCTGTGCTGAGTGAGATGACCCAGTGCGGTAGTTTCTCCCAGTGCTGGCGCTGGCTGCACTGCTGCTGGCGGTGGGATGGGAGGAATAGCCTGGGCCCAGGTAGGGATGGGAGGACAAGGAGTCTCTCAGGGCTGTTGTAATTTCTCCCAGCGCTGGCGCTGGTGGCGCTGCTGCTGGCGGTCGGTGGGATGGAGAGGAATAGCCTTGGCCCAGGTAGTGCTTCTCTCCACTGCACAAACACGGCCCGCACAAACACAGGCCACACGCACACACAGGCCACACACACACACGCACCATACGCACACACACATCCACCATACGCACACACACATCCACCATACGCACACACACATCCACCATACGCACACACACATCCACCATACGCACACACACATGCACCATACGCACACACACATCCACCGTACGCACACACACGCGGATAGTCACCCACCTTTTGTAGCACCCCTGATAGAAGGTTTGTTTTGAGACGTCTCAAAACAAATCCTATTGTAGCACCCGCATCGCCCCTTCTTGCCCCATCACCACTCTTTGTTTGATAAGCAACCTTGCTCCTTTCTTCTCCCTCTTCCGTTTCCCCCACCCTTTGACCCACACGCCCCCCCCGTCCAATCTCCACCCAGTCTCTGCCTCTCCTCCTCTCTGCTCGGGTCGTCAATGGCCTGGGTGTGGGCCTTGCCTCCTTTGTGGTATGTATGTGTGTATGTGTGTGTGTGTGTGTGTGTGTGTGTGTGTGTGTGTGTGTGTGTGTGTGTGTGTGTGTGTGTGTGTGTGTGTCTGTGTCTGTGTCTGTGTGTGCGTCTGTGTATGTATGTATGTATGCATGCATGTATGTATGTATGTATGTATGTATGTATGTATGTATGTATGTATGTATGTATGTATGTATGTATGTATGTATGTATGTATGTATGTATGTATGTATGTATGTATGTATTATGTATGTATGTATGTATGTATGTATGTATGTATGTATTATGTTGTATGTATGTATGTATGTATGTATGTATGTATGTATGTATGTATGTATGTATGTATGTATGTATGTATGTATGTATGTATGTATGTATGTATGTATGTATGTATGTATGTATGTATGTATGTATGTATGTATGTAATGTATGTATGTATGTATGTTATGTATGTATGTATGTATGGTATGTATGTATGTATGTATGTATGTATGTATGTATGTATGTATGTATGTATGTATGTATGTATGTATGTATGTATGTATGTATGTATGTATGTATGTATGTATGTATGTATGTATGTATGTATGTATGTATGTATGTATGTATGTATGTATGTATGTATGTATGTATGTATGTATGTATGTATGTATGTATGTATGTATGTATGTATGTATGTATTGTATGTATGTATGTATGTATGTATGTATGTTTATGTATGTATGTATGTAATGTATGTATGTATTGTATGTATGTATTTGTTTTTTATGTATGTATGTATGTATGTATGTATGTATGTATGTATGTATGTATGTATGTATGTATGTATGTATGTATGTATGTATGTCTCCTAGTCTCGGGTCGCCAACTGCGTGGTTTGGTATGATCAACAGCTCCCATTCCCATGCATTGGGATTTCCTTCGTGCCTCAAGCTCAACAAATAGATACCGTTCGTTTCGTGTGTCCTCATCCTATTCCTTCTGCATTGGCCCTCAACTCCGTGGGGAAGTAGTTATAGTTTTGAGAACTAAATGAGAAAAGTTAACTACTTACCCACTCATCCTTTTCCTTCTGCATTGACCCTCCCCTCCTCCCCCCCTCTTCCCCCCTCTTCCCCCCCCCCCCGAAGGTTGTGCCAGTGTACGTAGCAGAGGTGTCCCCTCACGGATGGAGGGGGGTGTTAGGTAGTGTGAACAAGTTGCAGGCATGTCAACTCAATCGATGTGCACTCTTTGTGAGCCTCGTCAACAACATGTGTGATCCCTCCCTCTTTTGAGGCGCCTCAGAAGTCTTTTGAGGCGCCTCAGAAGTCTTTTGAGGCGCCTCAAAAGATCCCTCCCTCTCCCCTCCTCCCCCTCCACCCTCCCCTCCCCGCCCCCACCAGGTGCCAGTGTACATAGCGGAGGCGTCCCCGCACGCGTGGAGGGGAGTGGAGCACTGGAGCTGCCTGGCCTGGTATACAGAGATATCCCGGCATTCCCCTCCACCCTCCCCCCGTCCCCCCCCCGCCAGGTGCCCATGTACATAGCGGAGGTGGCCCCGCACGCGTGGAGGGGAGTGGAGCACTGGAGCTGCCTGGCCTGGTATACAGAGATATCCCGGCATTCCCCTCCACCCTCCCCCCGTCCCCCCCCCGCCAGGTGCCCGTGTACATAGCGGAGGTGGCCCCGCACGCGTGGAGGGGCGCGTTGGGCAGTCTGAACCAGCTGGCCATCACAGTAGGCATGCTGGGGGTATACTCCGCCGGCCTTGCATTCTCTTGGAGACAACTGGCTGCTCTTGGTGGGTTTGGTTAGATTGTCTGTGCACTCAGCTTGCAACTGGCACAGGCAAGCATGCTTTTTGCAATCTGAACCAGCTGGCCATCTCGGTGGGCATGCTGGGGGTCTACTCTGCCGGCCTTGTGTTCACCTGGCGGCAACTGGCTGCTCTTGGTGGGTTTGGTTAGATTGTCTGTGCACTCAGCTTGCAACTGGCACAGGCAAGCATGCTTCTTGCAATCTGAACCACCTGGCCATCTCGGTGGGCATTCTGGGGGTCTACTCTGCCGGCCTTGCGTTCTTTTGGAGAACTCTCGCTGTCCTTCTCATCTCACCCCCTCTTCCCCTCTTCCCCCTCCTCTGCCCACCCATCCTGCACGGACCACCAGGAGCGCTACCAGCTGTCGCTCTTCTATTGGGCGTGGCGGTGGCGCCGGAGAGCCCGAGGTGGCTGGCACGGAAGGGAGCAGGGAGAGGGGCGGTGCTTGGGGTGCTGCTGCGATTGAGGGGGGTGTGCCGTGCTGGTGGTAGCAGCGGTGTTGCTGCTTCTGTTTCTGCTGCTGCTGCTGCTGAGTCTGCTGCTGCTGCTGAGTCTGCTGCTGCTGCCGAGTCTGCTGCTGCTGCTGAGTCTGCTGCTGCGGCTGCGGCTGCTGTATTGACTGAATGTGAAGTGATAATGCAAGGAGTGCAGCATGAGCAGGGAGAGGAGAGCGGAGGACATCTCAGGAGGGAGAGTGAGCGGGAACTTGATAGTGAGAGAGGGGTGGAATGTGGTAGGGTGGGAGTGGAGGGAGTGGAGGATGGTGGTAAGGGCAGCACCGGGGTCAAGGGCATGTGGGGCACGGCACAAGAGCTGCTATTCGGCCATGCCAGCAAGCCGTTTGGGGTATGTTCTTATGTACATAAACTGCCGATGTATGTATGCGTGCACATAGCCATGGCGTTAAGCAGGGTGAGGATTGGTTTCGCCTTCTCCATTGCGATCCTCCCCTAGTTTCGCGTGGGGTTGATGGTGCTGCAGAAGTGGCAATAGCTACTGCAAAGAGGAGGATTCACCATCCACATGCCATCCTCGTCCTTCACCTCATACACCTCACACACCCTGCACATGCCCCACTCTCCTCAAACCCCGCACACACACCCCTCGTTGCCTGGTGTGCGTGGGGTTGATGGTACACCAGCAGTGGCATTTGTTCTGAGGCACCTTTCTCTTCCCCATGCCTGTCCTTCCCCTGCCCCGCACGCCCCGCACACCCCTCTTTGCCAGCTGTGCGTGGGGCTGATGGTGCTGCAGCAGTGTGCGGGCATCAAGTGGGTCCGATGGTGCACCGTGTGCCATAAAGCAGCGACCGCTCTCCCATGCCATTCCTCCCCTTTTCCCCTCACCCCCCTCGCCCCTCTCGCCCCTCTCGCCCCTCGCTACCCCCACGGCCAGCTGTGCGTGGGGCTGATGGTGCTGCAGCAGTGTGCGGGCATCAACGCCATTGTCTTCTTTGCCGCGGCCATCTTCAGCAACGCTGGCTTCACTGACCCCAACCTCCCCAGCTTTGGCATCGCTGCCGTGCAGGCAAGTGTCCTATACTGCCGTGCAGGCAAGTGTTCTATGCTGCCGTGCAGGCAAGTGTCCTATGCTGCCATGCAGGCAAGTGTCCTATGCTGCCGTGCAGGCAAGTATCCAACCCCAACCTCCCCAGCTTAGGCATCGCTGCGGTGCAGGCAAGTGGTGTGGGGGTGTCGTTGACTCCATACCATATGCCTTTTCAAGAAATGCTCTCCGTATGCTGCCATGCCTCGTCAATCATGGCTGCTCTGCTCGCCTTCTTCATCCCACACCCACACGCCCATATCCACTTGCTCCATATCCCCCCTCTCTTGCTTGCTTCTCTTGCACTCATCCTCCCACATCCCACATGCCCATCTCTCCTTCCTCATATTCCGTGTGTAATGAGTCTATTTTTGTGTCAACTCAAAAATAGACTCATTATACGGATTATACACAGAGAAATTTTTAGTCGGCTCAAAAATATCCTCCCACGTCCCACACGCCCATCTCTCCTCCCTCATACCCCCCCCCCTCCTCAGGCCCTTAGGCTCACCGTCTTCTCAGCTCTTCTCCTAGACAGGGCCGGCCGTTGCTTGCTGCTCCTCCTCTTTCCTCTCTTCCCCGGCCGTCGCGCGCCTCTCTATCCTGTCTCCTCCTCGGCCTTGCCTTCTTCATCCCTCAAAACAGGTGTGCCTATTCTCCCCCCCCCCCCCTCTCTCTCCCCCCAGGTCATTTTCACGCTCTTCTCAGCTCTTCTCCTGGACAGGGCCGGCCGCCGCTTGCTCCTTCTCCTCTCCTCCTCCGGCATGTCTCTCGCCTGCCTCCTCCTCGGCCTTGCTTTCTACATCCCTCACGCGCACCTCCCCTTCCTCCCCGCCTCCTCCGCCCCCCTCCTTGCCTTCTCCGGCTGCATGGCGTACATTGTCTTCTTCTCCTTGGGCATGGGCGGCATCCCTTGGATTATCATGTCCGAGGTGAGAGGGGAGGGAGGGGGAAGTGGGCTAGCAGTTCTTCTTTTGGTAACTTATGTTGACGCCGAATTTGTTTCCACCTCTTCTGAGCCCCGTACGTTCCGTCTAACCCCTTCAATGCCCTCTCTCTCACAATGCAGCTGCCAGCTGTCCCCTTGTCTTGTTCCTCTGCTCACACCCTCCTGCAGATCATTCCAGCGCACATGCGGTCGTTAGCCGGCAGCCTTGTGGTGCTCTGCAACTGGTCGCTCTGCTTCCTCATCACACAGACCTTCGCCTCGCTCTTCGCCTGGAGCTCCTACGGTGAGTGCAAGGACACACAGGGGGAACAAGCAAGGTGTTTTGAATCTTACGGTTAAACCAGCAGCCTTGTGGTGCTCTGCAGCGGGTCACTCTGCTTCCTCATCACTCAGACCTTCGCATGGAGCTCGTACGGTGAGTGCCATGGCTGTTGGGTTTGCGTGGACTGTGTGGTGTGGTTTGGAGTCCACTCTAGAGTCACCTCTGTTTCCTCATCAATCAGGCCTTTGCCTCGCACTTCGCATGGAGCTCCTACGGTGAGAGTATAGACACACATGAGGTTACAGCAAGTTGTTTTGGTCGAGAGTCTTGCGGTTGCTAGCCGGCAACCTCATGGTGCTCTGCTACTGATCGCTCTGCTTCCTCATCACACAGACCTTCGCGTCCTTGTTTGCTTGGTGCTCGTACGGTGAGTGCAAGGAGTGTTTGGTTTGCTTGGAACGCGTAGGAATGGACAAGCTCTTAACACAGGTTGAGAGATGGTTGAGAGTGCACGGGTTAGCGCTCAATGCTCACTCCTTCTTTGTCCTTCTCCCATAATGCTTCTCCTCATCTTCCCGCACTTGATGGTCTAGATGATTTGACTTTCTCTCCTTCCCTGTTGTCCCCTCTATAAACCAGGAACGGTGTGGCTGTATGGATCAGTGGCTGCAGTGGGAGTGGTGTTCATATGGACATGCGTTCCAGAGACCAAGGGCAGGACGCTAGAAGAGATCGAGGCATTCTTCAGACCCAACTTCAATCCATAACCATGTGTGTAGTGGATACTGTGTTAGAAAGCTATACTAAATGGCTCTGTAATAAATTTCACATACACAGCTCTATCAAGGCGTACTCCTGAAAGTATAACCAAAATCAAACCCGTGCGGTACAGTGCAGTGCAAGTGTCGAAATGCACACTTCTGTGGGTGTTACGAGAGGGTTTTAGCTAAGTACATGAGGCAACCCACCAGCTCTGCGTACGAACCACTAGGCTCTACTGACTCCTTAGGGACTGGAGCTGAGAGCCTGTGATCTACTGGCAGAGGTGTGGGTTGTGTGGAGGAGAACTGAAGACCGCCTCTAAAGGACCTGGAGCACCAAGTGTGACTGCGTGAGAGTGATGGTGCGCGCTGCTCTGTCCCTAGAGATCTATAGGCCAAGGTAGCGGCGCAGCTCTCCTAGGTTAGTGCAAGTGTGCCTCCTCAGCAGCTCGGCCTTTACGGAGGCCAGTGCGTCTCTGTCTGCAGTAGCAAAGACCAGATCGTCTACGTAGACAAGGATGTAGAACAGGGTCTGGCCTGAACGAACGAAGAGCGAAGGGTTTGCAGAGGACGGGAGGAAATCCAGGTCAGCTAACGCAGGACGAAGCGTGCCGTGCCACTCGCGCGGTGCCTGGCGCAGGCCGTAGACCGAGCGCTGGAGGAGCCACTCGGTACCAGGGGCGAAGGTGCCGGTGAAGACGCGGGCGACGCAGGTAGACCTGCTCGTGCAGACTGCCCTAAAGAAACGCTATTGAGAAGTCGAGAGAGAGCAGCTCGTAGTCACGCTGTGCTGCAACATGTAGCAGCGCCCGAAGAGCAGTCATCTTGGGGGTCGGGGCGAAGGTCTGAAAGAAGTCAACACCCTCGCGCTGACGGAAGCCTCTGGCAACATAGCGCGTCTTTAATACCGACGGCTCCCCAGGAGGGTGCTTCACCTTTAAGAGCCATTGGTCAACGACCACGTTCACCCCAGGTGGGGGAATTGCGTCGACATAGGTGCCGGTGGATCTCCAAGATGCATCTCCACGTCCATGACATCTATCCATTGAGAGGCCCAGGGTCCTGAGATCGCCTCAGCGTAAGTGCGAGGGGTCAGGATGTCAAGGGCGTCTGGTTCACCCTCAGGGACTAGCAGCATGGAGCAGAGATGAGGCGCGGCCTCGGGCAATAAAGATATATCGTACTGTCAGTCCTCTAGGAAGTCATTGCCAAGGGCAGCAGCACACCCGACGGACGGAGGACGGGCAAGGTCAAAGACCAGGGCGGTGGCGTAGTCAAAGGGCAGGTAGAGGCAAAGTCAGTGACGGCAGCGACAAGAGCGTCAAGATTGGAGACAGGAACAGACGGGTCGGTAACAAGAGAGGCGAGGACCCAGGGAACAAGAAAACTAGCAGCACGGAGGAAGTCAGGCAGGGGAGGCGGAGCGACACCCAAAGACGACGGAGGAAGCGACAAGAGGAGGGGAGGATGAGACGCGTGGGAACGAAGCAACATGGGGTGAGAGCGCTGAACAGGAGATACGGGACGAGCACGAGAGGGCCGGCGAGACCAGAAGTGGGACGCAAGCATCGGATCAGGAGGCACAAAAGGAGACACAGGAGGAGAACATGCGGGGAAACGAGCCGAAGACGAGTCCGGCGGAGGAAACACAGGACCGTAGACTGGCGGTGGAGGCAGAGGCAGGTAGCCAGGGGAGGGAAGACCGAGGAAGCGAAGGGCATACTCCCGCGGCGACTGCGGCTGCTGCTCCACACCGAGACTAGAACCTCCAGCTGCACCACTACGACCATCGGGACACTCCACGACAGCACCCCCAATACAAGAACCCTCTCTAGCACCGGTGCCACCCCTAGGACCACCGGGATCAGCCACGACAGTAACCCTAGGACCAGCACCCTCCTCAACGCCCACACCCCCAGAGCTCGCGGACCCCAGCGGCGACGACGGTTGCGACGGCGGAGACGGCTGCTGCGGCGACAGCGGCTCTTGCGGCGGCAAAGGAGGAGGAGATACCGGGGCGGAGACGGGGGGCCAAACCGAAGCCGCAGGTCCCCCGGAGTCAGCCGCAGCCGCAGCCGACTTCTCTGCCGGGACAACCGACGGGAGGGGAGTGACGTGAGACACACCAGAAGGGGCAGGATGGGGAGGAAGAGGAGCAGGAGCTACCGGGGGTGTGGGGACCAGGAACAGGGGCGGGGCAAGCGGAAGACCTTGGTGGGGAAAGTGGGTGAAGAAGGAGATAGACTTATCAAAAGTGACGTCACTAGAGTGAAAGAAACTGTGAGACGGCTGGTGGTAAAAGTGCCAGTCAGACACGTCTAGCGGGAAACCAAGGAGGACATAAGGGACGGTGTGGGCGGTGAGCTTGTCCATGCCAGAGGCAATAACGTGAGCAATGGAGCTCCAGACGTGGAACGCAGACACGTCACCAGGGAACCCGGTCCACAGGAGGGTCGGCGAAAACTGCGACAGTTGGGAGTGCGGCCACAAATTAAGCTGGTGAGCGGCGTAGCGTACAGCGAACGACCACAGAAATGTGGTGCACCGGCATGGATCATGGAGGTACGAGCCACCTCGATGAACAAGCCGATGCGTCGCTCAGCGACCCCATTCTCATGTGGGGAGTCCGGTAGGGTGTACAACTGGGTGATGCCCTCCGCACGACAGAAATGGCCAAGCCGACCGAAGACGAACTCGCCGCCACGGTCAGAGTTAAGACGCAGCACAGGGAGGCTGCAGTGGGCGCGCGCAGCTACTGCCCACGGGATAAGAATGTCAGCCATGGCGGCCATACGCTCCATGGGAAGCACCGTGGTTTAGCGCGTGTAATCGTCTACAAGCACTAGAAAGTAGCGCTCTCGACGCAGGCAAGGGACAGGGGCTGGGCCCCAGACGTCTGGGTGCAAGGTCTGGAGTGGCGCAGTGGTAGGGGGAAGCGAGGAGGAGTGAGGATCACGTCGCAGCCGGCCCTTGACACATGGCATGCCCGGCAGTGCAGGCGAGGGAGAGAGGGCAGGGAGTGACGCAGAGAGACCTAAGACAAGACCGTGATGGGACATGTGATGCAGACGCGGGAGTGTGGGGTGACCTAGGCGGTGGTTCCACAACAGCAACGGGTGGGTGAGCGACCGACATAAGCAAGCCGCAGCAACCTGGGAGGACGAAGTGACCTGGGGGGACGTTCCCACCGGCGGGGATGCGATGTCTAAGGTGAACAGGCCAGACATGGGGTCCAGGGGGAATTTGGTGAGGGGAGCACTAATGGCGGCCTCGGTATAGACTGCGTACCGCTGGTGTCCAGGAAACGTAGTGGTGACGCCGAGGTCCTGAAGACAGCCGACACCAACTAGGTTCCTGGAGAACGAGGGGATGTGCAAGCCTGTAAGAGAGCCCGAGGGAACCGTCGGACAGGGGAGGTTAGTGGAGCTACGGGCAACTACCAAGCTCGATGAGGGATCAGCAAGCGCTACCGCGGCAGGGGCAGCAAGCGGCGTGAGCGCAGTGTGGTCGCGAAAGAAGCAGACGGACGCACCAGAGTCTAGCGTGAATGAGAGCACGGCGGTAGCGGCCGCAAGCAAACGAGCTAGAGTGGAGTCGAGGCTAAACAAAGTAGGTGGTCCTACGTCCGGCGCAGCAGGGAAACCTAGACTACACAGAGTGGACACACCTACACGAGGCAACACAGGGTAGTAGGGTCTAGTTACACTAGAGTTATCAGCATACATGATATACATAGCAGACCTAATGTGATTCATGTCAAGCACAAAGATTGGGACACGGCGATGCACCGGGCTGTACCAGTCGAGGGGGTCAGACGTGGGGCCGAAGCAGAGACAAGAGAGGTCGTTGAGGCGGCGGTAGCAGCAAGCGGCGGTGTGACCAGGACGGTCGCAGACGGTGCCGCGGCAGGGGCTGGACCGAAGCTGGTACTGGCAGGTGACCACACTGGAGCTGCACTCGACACCAAGCTGTGCGGCCCACCACGACGCCCATCACCACCAGCGCCGCCATGCCACTACAGCGGCGGGAGCCGGCACCAGCCCCGGTCCCCTCATCTACACCACTGTCCCCGCCCCCACCTCCACCACCCCCACCACCCCCACCACCCCGGCCACCCTTCCCTCCGCCACGCCCCCACTTGGGGCGGCGGCCCTTACCATGACGCAACTGCTCTAAGGCCGTGGCGGCGGTCTCAGCAGCAGGGACTGTCTCACCTACAGCGGCAGAAACCTCAGAGTAAGTACACTGACAGGGAGCACAGCCCTGGAAGATAGGGACCGCTGCAGTATCGCTGGACTGAAAGATAGAGAGCTGGCGAGTCTCTATTGCGGACAGGGCTGTAACGAATGTGGTAAAGGCGAGATCACCGGGGTGCTGACTAAGGAAGTGGTCGCAAGCAGCGGCTAGGCGGTCAGGAAGGCGCATGGCAATGAGGTCAAGGGTAGTGCAAAGCAGCGGCGAGAAGGCAGTTTGCTGTGCCTCACTGCTAGCGGCGTGGTAGCTCTCTCAAATGCGCGGAGGTGAGTGGCGAGGTTAGCGACAGTGGGGAATAAGGCAAGATCAGGGAACAGGATGGGGAGGATCAGGCGGTCGGCACATGCTGAGGAGGGAGTAGAAAGCGCGCAATGACCGCATCTAACTATTCTTTCGCATTGGCTACAGCGGCAAAGTGGGGACGCTCAGACAAGGGGAGGGCATGACTGATAGCAAGCTGTGCAACTTCGTCGCGCGACTCCCGGACAGCGCAGGCAAGCTCAGCAGTGGCAAAGGCCTCACGCTCAGCAGACGTGGGGGCAGCAGGGAGGGCAGCAGGCGCGTTGGGGCAGGGGAGGTTACCGTCGACATGGACGGCCAAGGAATGGCCGTCATGGCGCTGATCTGTTAGCTGGCGTCGGAGGTCGACGAGCCACGCCTTGAAATCAACTGCCCGACCCTCCGCGTCCAGGCGGAGCATAGAGTCCGCCATCACCACGGCTGCAGCAGCTGACTGCCGCTGGAGGGGGGAGGAGAGCGGCGGAGATCAGTGGAGCACGGAGGAGAGCGGTGGAGAGCGGTGGAGACAGCCGGCGGTAGCGCCGGCGCAGAGGGGAGCCAAGGCCGGCGGGTCGGAGCGGCTCAGCGACTCAGCGATACAGCTTCACGTCGGCACGGCTTGGCAGGAGCTAGGCCCGGCACTTGCTAGGGCCGGCGGTGCTGGGGCCGACGAAGCTGGGGCCAGCGGAGGTAGGGCCGACAGAGCCGGGGCCGGCGGAGCTTGGGGCCGGCAAGCGAGGGGTCGGCGGGTACGAGGCCAGCTAGCCAGGGGCTGGCAAGCAGGGGGCCGGCAAGCACGGGGCCAGCGAGCGCGGGACCGGCCGGCGCGGGGCCAGCAAGCGCAGGGCTGGCGGGCGTGGGGCTAGCAAGCGAGGGGCCGGCGAACTCGGGGCTAGCAGGCGCGGGGCTGGCGAGTGCAGGGCCAGCGGGCGCGGGGCTAGCTAGCGAGGGGCTGGCGAACGCAGGGCCAGCGAGCGCGGGGCTGGCGTGGAGGGGCCGACGTGAGGGGCCGGAAAGCGAGGGCCGGCGGGCAGCGGGCCGGTGACGAGCGAGGGCCGGCGCGCTAGGGCCAGCGAGCTAGGATCGACGGGCTCGGGTCTACACGCGGCTGGCGGCTACGGGCGGCCAGTGGCTACAGGCGACTGGCGGCTATGGGCGGCCAGCGGCGGTGAGCGGCGAGCGGCTAGCAGCGGCGGCGAAAGATGGGTGGCTAGGAACGGGCGGCTAGCGACGTGCGGCTAGCAATGGGCGGCTAGCAACGGGCGGCTAGCAATGGGCGGCTAGCGACGGGCAGCTAGCAACGGGCAGCTAGGAACGGGCAGCTAATGACGGGCGGCTAGGATGAGGGCTAGGAATAGGGTGGAAGCGCGGGTGGGCGGGGAGGACCTAACCTAGCGTGAGACCATCTCAGAGTAACGAATGGACTAGAATGAGAGATACACGGTGGTTTTGTGCTAAGGGGTTGTACTCTCTAAGAGTACGTACCTATCTAGCGTATACTGATATATACACATATGTTTGACAGCCATGGCAGCACGACGAGGCCGCCACGGCGGCACGATAATGAGATGAGGGGAGAGAGTACGCTGCGGAAGCGTGATGAGAAGGCTCAGCAGGATCATCCTGCTCTGAAACCATGTTACGAGAGGGTTTTAGCTAGGTAGTAGGAAAAGTGACGAGAGAAAAGAGTGTGAACTAGGAAAGAGAGAGAGGTACAAGAAGGGGTGTTGTCCTCTTTACAGTAGGATCCAGAATTGTAAAAAATCTACCAAGCCTACACAAATATATATAATATATGTAAGTTGGCAATGGGTTCCGTCTGGTAATGCACGAATCTGATGCTGGTTCAATTTCGATTCTACGCTAAAAAATAAGCCCTCAGCATTCTGGAATATGCTCTCATGGATATGATAGTGCATGCATGAGTTTCTTGTTGAAGCTCAATGAGTGATGTGGAATAATGTATTGCTTTCAATTTCCATGACCCACCAACAATATTATGTAGGTGGAAACATGAGTGTGGTCAGAAGCTACTAGCTTTCTGCCGTACTATTACCAATGGAGTTTTTTCCCAGCCCTGAACTCCCTTCAAGTCTCAGAAGAATGGCGTGCCTCTGCAACTTTGGGCTTGGAATCTTTGAAGCATAGAGCTAGCGGGCAAGGCTTTTATATACTGAATGCGTGTCAGAATTGTAAGTTCTGCTGTTGTTCCAATGTTTGCTTAGACCTAATATCGAGTCATGCCGTGGCTGCCTGAAGTGTGGGGTCCGAACTCAAGCCGCGGAGTCCAGTTTGGCACAAGTGAATCAGCTAAGCTCTTTTCAGCGTCAGCAATATCGGCGACATTCTGGCCTCAAATAGGAAATCGACGGTCCTCACAAGTCGACAGAGGCGCCGCAAGCATCCAGCGAAGGAAATCCATTATCCTGTAAGTCCTGCCGACATGGCATCCAGCTTTAGCGGGAGCGCTTTCAGTGCATCGCACCGCGTTGAGCCTCCCCCATGCCACGCGTGGCTGCGAGAGTGTTTGGTGGAAGTGGTCAGCAACGGCGTGCTCTCAGTAGGCCGCATAGCTCTACCACGTCATATCAGCCAATTGATGAAAAGGACAGCCGATGCGCGTTTCGACAAGGGAGATTGGGGGATTTTGCAAGCGATCATGTGCGAAATGTGACGACTCTGCCGGGCTGCAATGCTTCCAGATTCCCGGTGCACGAAAGCACCAGAAAACTTTCTGGTTACACTTTGCGAGCTTGCAATGGAGCCTCTGGCCTGTGCGAGCAATAACGAAGTCGTCGGTCAGAATGGATGGGTCTTCTCGTCATGGCATGGAAAAGGGAGGCGCGTTGGGCCAGGCCGCGGTGGGTGACCTGGCAGGATGATATGGGCAGATGTGCGATGTGCGATGTCTTCAAGCCGGAGCGAGTGCCGCTTTTCCCCCACCCACCCCAGTCACACTCACACGCACACTACCTGCCTCGCTTGCTGGAGGCAGACCAGCCCACATTCCGGGGAGGAGAGTGGGAGTGGGCTTGAGCCCTAGGAATTTGTTTCAGGCAGCGGAATCGCGTCTTGGTCAACCAACGAACGCGCACGCTTGCTGGTGATTTTCATGATATCGGGAGCTTCTAGAAGCGGACGCGGGGCAGGAGTGCTCTGGTTCTGAAAGCACGAGGCTGGAGCGGGAAGACATTCATATAGACTGTCGTGCAAATTATAGTGGTCAGTAAATTTGTTAAAACATTAACGACTACTTCCCCCCAATCTTGGTTATCTTGGCTGCTGCTGACGTCCTACTAATTCATGGTTCTAGGTCCCGAGCTTTCACGCAATACGAATCTACTCGTCACAAGCTTATCCGGAGCGTAACGATCACCTATCTACCCTACACGATGTGAGATTACTGCCCTCACTAATCCCAGGTTCCGTTATGAACAACCTCTAGACTCCGCGACTCGTTTGACAAACGTTCTGTAGTGATTAATTGTGGACGATTTGACGGATTCCCGCCAGCTATCTGTCAGTGTTTTAATAAGCGTCCAGTCTTGTTCCAAGTCCCCTTTCTCTAAAAAAAAAAACAAAAACAAAAACAATAAACGGCTCGTCCTCTTTCTTTCTCCACGCTGTTCCCCTTGTCCTTCCCTTTCATCCTCCCATCTTCACCGTCTCACCAATCCATCCTGCCTTCCAGCTCCTATAACCTTTCTTTCCAGCGTACAAATCGCCTGAAACCACCGCAACTTTAACCTGCGCACGCGTCCTCCCATCCCCGTTACACGCAGTTCCGCTATAGCCTCCTCCATCATGCACGGGAACGGCGTAATCGGCGTGCTCCACGAGGGGCGCTACAAGTGGGAGCGCCGCGCCCCGCTCACCCCCGCGCAGTGCGCGCGCCTGCTCGCCGCCTCCGCGGGCGGGTCTGCCGCGGGGCGCGCGCACGGCCGCGCGGCCGCGGGGTCGATCCGCATAATCGTGCAGCCGAGCAGCAAGCGCGTGTTCGCGGACTCGCAGTACGAGGACGTGGGGTGCGAATTGTCGGATGACCTGTCCGAGTGCGGTCTCATCCTCGGCGTGAAACAGCCCCCGGTAAGGGCGAGGGCAGAGGTGTGCGGTGTGAGGTGTGAGAGGTTTTGAGATGTCTCGAGACTCGAAGTACGAGGACGTGGGATGCGAATTGTCGTATGACCTGTCCGAGTGCGGGCTTATCCTCGGCGTGAAACAGCCGCCGGTAAGGGCGAGGGCGAGGGCGAGAGGTGTGCGATGTCTTGAGATGTCCGCCTCTTCGTCTTGCTTGCCTGCTTGCGTGTGTCTTTCGTCTTTCGTCTTTCAACTTCCATATTTTCGTCGTTCGTCTGTGCAGCTGGGCACGCTGCTCCCGGACCGCTCCTACACCTTCTTCTCGCACACGCACAAGGGGCAGGAGGAGAACCTGCCGCTGCTCGACGAGGTGCGCTCGCTTTACCCGTGCCCTATTCGTGGTTATAGCAACCAGGGTGCTGCTTTTTCTTCAGGCGCCTAGAACGCTCCTACACCGTCTCCTCTTCTCGCGCACAATCAAGGGGCAGGAGGAGAACCTCCCGCTGCTCGACGAGGTGCGCCGCCGCGCCCTTGTAGTCCTCCCTGCTTGCGATCTTTCCTGCTTTTCTATTCGTGACTACTTGAAGGTGCTGCGGGTGCTGCCGCTCTTTCGTCGCTTCGCTTATAACGGAGCGCCGCGTCACCCTCTTGCTGAGCCGAGTGGCCGTCCTTCCTTCTTGATACGGCCGCAGCGTTGCTGGATTGGAGCGGCGCTTGGTCGGCTTGGTCGGCTTGGTCGGGTGGTCGGCACTCGCCCCCTGATATGATTCGCCAGGGTTTAGTTCCACCTCTTCCGCCTCTAGTTCCTCGCGATGCTCCTGTCGCTGTACGACTACGAGCTGATGGTGTCGAGTGACAAAAGAGAGGAAATATTCTTCCCTCCTGTACCCCCTCACTCCGCTCCTCTTCCCCGCCTCCCCCCCCCCCCCCTACCAACCCCCCACCAACCCCCCTCTAGATCCTCGCAAAGCGCGTGTCGCTGTACGACTACGAGCTGATCGTGGGCGATGACGGGCGGCGCGTGGTGGCGTTCGGCGAGTACGCGGGGCGCGCGGGCATGATCGACTGCCTGCGAGGGCTGGGGGAGCGTGAGTAGGGGGGGAGGGAAAAGAGGAGGATGGGGAAAGGGGAACGGGAGGATGGGGGAAAGGAAGAGTGGAAAGGGGGCGGGGGATCTAAGGTGGGGGTTTCGGCGCCAGGGGGAAAGGCTTTGGGAAGTATGGGGGGTGCATTTCTTAGGCATGTCAAAAGTGCATGCTGGGCTCACAGCCATGCTCCCTTCTCCTCCACACTCCCAAGAAACGTCACTCTCAACTCAACAATGCACCTAGCTTCCCACTTGCCCCTTTCCCCTCCATAGCGTCGGCCTACATGTACTCCACCTCGCCCTCCGCCGCCAAAGTTTAAAGCCATATCCGACTGCCCTAAACCGTTCTTGCTCATCCCCTTCCTCCCCCGACCAGCCCACCTGTTTCTGGGCCACCACACGCACTTCCTCTCCATCGCGTCGGCTTACATGTACCCCTCGCCCTCCGCCGCCAAGGCCACAAGAAACTCAACAACCCTTCTCCAACCAACAGCTCTCCCACTCTAATGTCCCTGCCTTTCTCTCCCCACAACCCCCTTTCTCCCCAGGCTACCTGAATCTGGGCCACCACATGCCTTTTCTCTCCATCGCCTCGGCCTACATGTACCCCTCTCTCTCTCTCTCTCTCTCTCTCTCTCTCTCTCTCTCTCTCTCTCTCTCTCTCTCTCTCTCTCTCTCTCTCTCTCTCTCTCTCTCTCTCTCTCTCCCCATCATAACCCTCCACCCCCGCTTTCTTCCTCCCCCTCCCCTTTCTCCCCTCCCCTTACCCTCCTTCCCCTTCGTGCCCCAGGCTATCTGAATCTGGGCCACCACACGCCCTTCCTCTCCATCGCCTCGGCCTACATGTACCCCTCGCTCTCCGCCGCCAAGGCTGCTGTCGTGGCGGCCGGCGACGATATCTCCACTCACGGACTGCCGCCCGCGCTCAGCCCGCTTGTTTTTGTCTTCACTGGCACTGGCAAAGGTGGGGGGGCGGGGGGGGGGGAAGGGGAGGAAGAAGGGTTTGGGGGTTTGGGGGGGGGGAGGGGGTTTGAATGGGGGAAGGGATGGAGGAAAAGCAGGGAGGGGGAGGACGTTGCTTTGGTTGCTTTGGTGGTTATATCAGTGTGTCACGTAACGAGTAGTAAGCTTCCACTATTTGTCTGATGCGTTTTGATGGAGGAACAGCATCAAATCAAGGGTCGGGTCGACACTGCAGCCTTCCTTATTCGGGCTACTCGAATCTCTCCTGGCCCAAACCCCCCCCCCCCCTACCCCCCCTTTCCTGTATCTCTTCTCCTTCCCCTGCTCTCCTCAAACCGCAACGCATGATTCACTATGCGAATCTGTTAACCCTAAACCCTGGACCTTGTACCCTGCCTACCCCCTTCCCTCCTCCCCCCCCTTTCCCCCGCCGCCCTCCCCTTTCAAACTCCCCCTCTCCAGTGTCCCAGGGCGCGCAGGAGATCTTCCGCCTGCTGCCTCTGAGCCGACTCAAAGGAGTCCCTACCCCCTCTTCCCCCCCCCCCCCACCCCCCCCACCCCCACCCTTCACCCCCCCGCCCGCAGTGGCCCAGGGCGCGCAGGAGATCTTCCGCCTGCTGCCGCACCACTTTGTGAAGCCTGCTGACCTGCCGAACCTGCTGGCGCACAAGCCCCCCGCGCACGTGAGTTGAATGCGCAGGGTGTGGTGTGGTGTGGTGTGGTGTGCTTCCTGTGGGTTTCTGTAGTCTGTCTGAACCGACCCCCCTACACACTCACCCTAATCCCACTCACTTTCTCTCCGACCCCACTCTAGGAACCCACTCCTTGAACCCAAACCACCACCCCCAATCCCCACCTCCCCGTGCCTCTCCCTTGCCTTTGCTCCATGGCCACGGCTGCGATGGGCTTGGACCCATCGCAGAAGGTGATCTACGCTACACGTGTGGTGGAGTCTCTCTGCTCTTCCCACCCACTCCACCATCGTTTTGCCTCTCCCTCCCAACCCCTCTCCCTCCAACCCCCTCCCACTCCCCTGCCCTCTCACTCACCCCCTCTCCCTCCCACCCCTCACTCCCACCCCCTCCCACTCCCATCCCCACTGACTCCCACCCCCTCTCTTCCCCCCCCGTGCCCTCGCCTCGCCGCAGGGCCACGGCCTGGGCCCATCCCAGAAGGTGATCTACGGGAGTGTGATGGAGGCAAAGGACATGGGGCAGCCTCTCTGCTCTCCTCACCCTCCTCACCCTCTCCCTTGCATTCCTGCAGGGCCACGGCCTGGACCCGGCGCAGAAGGTGATCTACGCGTGTGTGGTTGAGGCGAAGGACATGGTGGAGGCCCTCGACAAGCAGGCGCACCCCACCTTCGACAAGGTCAGCCAGCCGCATTCTTTTCTCTCCAACGTACCTCAATCGGTCCTTCGTATTAGATAGGCACTAAAGGGTACATTGAGGGTACAGCGAAGCAAGGTGCCTCTCTCCCTTCTGGTTTCCCTCCCTCTCCCCCTTAACTCTCTCCCCCCCCGTACCCTGCACTCCTCTCTCTCTCTCTCTCTCTCTCTCTCTCTCTCTCTCTCTCTCTCTCTCTCTCTCTCTCTATTGCCTCCCAACGTGGCTTCATGTCTCTCTCCTTCTCTCATTATCCCCGGTACCCCTCCATTTCTCCCCAACTCTCTCCCCCTCCCTCCCCCCCCCCCCCCCCCCCACCTTTTCCCATGTCACCCATTGTTTTCCCAATGGGTTGTCACGGCACCCACCACCACACCACAGGAGCATTACTACGCCCATCCAGACCAGTACCGCCCCATCTTCCATGAGACCATCGCGCCCTATGCCACCGTCATCGGTATGTTTGTGCCATGTGCCACGTGCCACGTGCCTGTATGCAACGCTCGTATGCCATGCACGACTTGCCTTGCTCTCCTCTTGCCCGTTTCCCCTTACCCTCCCTCCCCCGCTCCCTCCCCATTCCCCCCCCCCCCCCCCAGTGAACTGCATGTATTGGGAGCACCGCTTCCCTCGCCTGCTCTCCAACGAGCAGCTCAAGGCGCTGGCAACCGCGAAGGATGAGCAGGGGCAGGCGGTGCCGATGCGGCTGGTGGGCGTGGCGGACATCACGTGCGACGTGGGGGGGTCGGTGGAGAGCCTCACCCACTCCACCGAGATCGAACGGCCCTTCTTCCGGTGAGGTTTGGGCTCTCTCTCCCCCTCCCCCCCCCCCCCCTCTCTCTCAAGCGGTCCGTTTATTGCTTGAAAACCTGGGTACAGGCTAGGCAGGCAAGGGGCAACAAGTCAAGGTACGTGCATGTTTAAGGGCTCGAATCTACTCGAGCTCCCCTAGGGGTTCTGCTATGGCAAAGCAGTCCCCAGGTGCCATGTCGGCGTCAGGGGTGCCCATTGGGGTGTGGGGGGCAGGGGAGGCTTCATAAACTTTGCCCAGGTAAGCCAAGGCCTGCGCCCGCTCTCCCTCTCTCTTGCTTTTCTTCCTGGTGGGAGTGAGGAAGTGTGGGGTAGTGGGTGGGAGCTGCCACACTTCGGTCAAGCGCTCTTCCCCTTCCTGCCATCCTTCCTGAACCGCCGGTTTTGGGGGCTCGGCTGGTCTGATTTCTCGCCTCCTACCCTCTTTCCTGCTCTCCCCCTCTCCCTCTCTCCCTCTCTCCCCCTCTCCCCCTCTCCCCCTCTCCCTCTCTCCCCCTCTCCCTCTCTCTCCCTCTCTCTCCCTCTTCCCGTACCCCCTGCCAGCTATGACCCCATCAAGGGCACAACCCACGACGACTTGGAGGGGCCGGGGATATTCTTCGTCGCTGTCGACATTCTGCCGTCCGAGCTCCCCAAGGAGGCCACCAACCACTTCGGCCAGGCGCTCTTCCCGTTCCTGCGCCACCTGGCGTTCGCGCGCACGCCTGAGGACGCGCCTGCCGCCATGCAGCGGGCGTGCATCACCTATGGCGGGCACCTGTGCCCGCTGTTCGAGTACATCCACCGCATTGCTGCTGCCCGCAAGGCCGAGTGAGTCTTTCTGCCTCTGCGGTGTTTCTTGAGCGTCCCGTAAAGGCGTGTGTGTATGGTTGATACAGGCGTGTGTGTATCAACCGTATGTGCCCCAGGCGTGCATCACCTACGGCGGGCACCTGTGCCCGCTGTTCGAGTACATCCACCGCATTGCTGCTGCTCGCAAGGCTGAGTGAGTGTTTCGTGCTTGGGGGTAGTGGCGTGGTGTGGGTAGTAGTGGCTGTTCTTGCTTTGCTTGTTGGTTGGGGGTTCTCCTTTGGTTTCTGCGCCCTTTATTCAAGAGCGTCCACCGTCTCACTGCTGCCTGCCACAAGGCTGGGCGCATCACTTGAAGGAGTGATTTGAGAAAGTTCAACATGAGCGCTGCTTGAACCTCCCCCCCCCCCCCCCCCCCCCCCCCCCACTCTCTTTCTCTCTCTCTCTCTGCACCGTTGTCTGTGTGCTGTGCGGTGCGGTGCTGTGCTGTGCGTGGTGGCAGGGCGGAGGCACTGCCATCCGACAAGAAATACACCACTCTGGTACGTTCTCCGGTGCCCTGCCCGACATTTGGTGCGTGTGAGGCCTGCCTGCCAGAGACCGAGGCTTGGGAGACCGAGGCTTGGGAGACCGAGGCTTGGGAGACCGAGGCTTGGGAGACCGAGGCTTGGGAGACCGAGGCTTGGGAGTCCGAGGCTTGGGAGACAGAGCCTTGCCTGACCACCAGCAAGCTTATGCCCTTCGGTACATGCCTCATTCACACAACTGCAACACTGCAACCAGCCAGCCTTTGACCTCACTACCTGCCCTCTGAGCCGCGCCCATGCTTTTGACCTGACTCCAAAGAACGAAACTGCAACCACCCAGCCTGTGACCTCTTTCTCACTACCTGTCTTCCTCTGCGCTTTTTTTCCTTTGAGCCGCACCCATTTGCGCCCCCATTTGCGCCACTCTCTTTTGCACAAGGAGCCTATTAAATCGTGGCCCCTCTCTTCGCCTACACTATCTTTGCCTGCCGCATGCCCCAGTCGGCGTAACACGGCTGCATACACAGTACATATATTTCACTCTTGGGCTCTTTTTTTTTACCGTATTAATTCCGTTCTTTTCACCCCCTTTCTTGCTCCCTCTGCCCCTCCCACCCCCCCGACTTCCTTCCCTTTTTTACCCGCCCTTTCGCCCCTTCATCCTTACCCGCCCCCCTATTTTTCCCGATCCATTTCCTGCATTCGAGTCATGCTGCTCCTTACGCTCCATCCCCCCCCCCCTCCTTTTCCCCCTCCCCTCTCCTTTGTTCTTTCCTCCTACACCACCCCACCTCTTTGTCTTTTACCCATGACCCTTTCGAATCGTCACAAAACAACAGAGTTCCACAAAAAACCCAGAAACCGAAGTCCCTATCCCCAAATCCGCAAGGGCCAAACCCTTCCCCTCGCCAACCGCGCCGCCCCCTGATTTCCAGCCCTCTATTCCTAAGCCGGAGCCTAAACTGGAGCCTGCTTTGGAGCCTAAACTGGAGCCTGCTTTGGAGCCTAAACTGGAGCCTGCTTTGGAGCCTAAACTGGAGCCTGCTTTGGAGCCTAAACTGGAGCCTGAGCATGCTTTTGCTAAGCTTGTTTCAAAGAGCGGCTGTTCTACTGCTGCCCCTTTAAGTCCCGCCACCCCCTTAGACCTTGCTGCCCCATTAGTCAAAGGCTGGTGCCTCAAGCAGCAGGGCCACCCGCACTTGGCTCTGTCTCGGGTCAGGGTCAAGGTTAAGGGCCTCCGCAGCAGCCACAGCAGCTGTAGCAGCCGTAGTAGCTGCAGTAGCTGTAACAGCTGTAGCAGCAGCAGCAGCAGAATATGTTGCTCCAGCAGCCGTTATTCTCAGTTCCACCAATGCAACTGCCCAACCCAGCCGCATTCACACACCCACCACCACCACCATCACCAGCACCAGCAGCATCACCACCATTACCACCACCACCACCAGCACCACCACTGGCACTTGCGGCTTCTCCCTGCTAGTGCCATGCTCGAGTCCTCCCCTTAGCCAGCACAGCCGTCTCCTTCCGTCCTAGAGAACATTCCATGCGCCAGCCCTGCCACGCGCCACCTCTGCCACCCACGCACCGTGCTTTTAGCTCTGCCCCTTGCTCTGTGGCACGCATGTCGCCCGCCCCCATTGCGAGGGGAGATCTGTGATGTGATCTCAGCCCTCCCGCATGTGATCACTGCCGTGATTCGTTGACTCGGCTCAAAGCTCACCTGCGTGCTAAGGGGCAAAGCCAAGGAGCACGGCTGCACGGCGCAGAGAGAGTGGGAGAATCCCTAATGGCGCAATGGAAGGTGCATGGAAGGCGCATGGAAGGTTCTCAAAGAGGGAAGGGGCGACCACTGCAGCACCTCCCCTCCTCTCACACTCTCCTCCTCCTCCTCCTCGTCCTCCTCGTCGTCCTCCTCCTCTCCTCCTCCTCCTCCTCTTCCTCCTTCTCGCGCCCCCTCCTTCCACAGTCTAGCTGCCATCTCCTCCCTGCCTCCCAACCCACCCACTTCTCTCTCTCCCACTGCTGCCCAGCCCCCCAGTCCCGGTGCTGCAGATCTTTCCCGTGCTTTTGCAATGACATGTGTGCACGTGTGTGTATCCTCCTCATCTGTTGAAGCATCTCTCGACAAGGCGATGGGTCCTCCTGGCGACTGCAACCAAACTCCCAGGGAGAGCGTTGCCCCTCTCTTCTTCGCCTAAAGAGGGATGCCCCCTCGTCTCTATAAACGTGCCTCCTCTCCCCCTCTCCTCCTCTCCTTTCTTCTCCCCTCCTCTCCTCGCCTCTCCTCCTCTCTCTTCCTCTCCCTCTCTCCTCCCCTTGCCTCTCCCCTCCTCTCCTCGCCTCGTCTCTCCTCCTCTCTCCTCCTCTCCGCTGCTCCTCCTATCCTGTCCTCGCCTCTCCTCTCCTCTCCTCTCGTCTTCACAACACCACCGCCACCACCTCACCTCACACACACACACGCACACGCACGCACGCACGCACGCACATACACACACACTCACGGACACACACACACACGCACACCCACACGCACACCCACACACACACACACACACACACACACACACACACACGCACACCCACACGCACACACACACACACACACACACACACACACACACACACACACACACACACACACACACACACACAAACACACACCACACCACCGCACACCACCGCACGTCACACCCCAGGTGTCCCTGAACGGCCACCTGTTCGACCGCTTCCTCATCAACGACGCGCTGGACGTTATCGAGCGCGCGGGTGGCACCTTTCAGCTCGCCACGTGCCTCGTGGGGCAGTCCGTCGACTCCAGCTCCTTTGCCGAGATCCAGGTACAAGGGGAGTCATGTAGGAGGGTCGGGCGACCGGGGGGGGAGAGGTGGGGTTAAGGGCAACGGGGGTTTGAGCGAGCGGACGGCACCTTCCAGCTCGCCACGTGCCTTGTCGGGCAGTCCGTCGACTCCAGCTCTTTCGCTGAGATCCAGGTGAGGCGGAGGAAGCTCAGTTGGGAGGGTTGGTTGGAGGGGTAAGGAGGGCTGGGCCGAGATCCAGGTACGAGGGGGAGGGGGCTCAGGTGGGAGGGTTGGGTGAAGTGGTAAAGAGGGCTTGGTGCCTCGTGGGGCAGTCCGTCGAGAATTCTCAAGAATCACCTACAATATGAGGGAGCTCAGGTGGGAGGGTCGGTTGAAAGGTGTAAGGAGGGCTGGGTGGGTGCGTCGTCGGGAAGTCCGTTGACTCCAGCTCTCTCTCTCTCTCTCTCAAGCGGTCCGTTTATTCCTTGGAATCCTCGGTACAGGCTAGGCAAGCGGAAGGCAACAAGGGAGAGGTACGTGCATGTTGGGGGTGCCCGAAGCTCTCTCTCTCTCTCTCTCTCTCTCTCTCGAATGGTCCTTTGTTGCTGGGGAATCCTGGGTACATGCTAGGCAAGAGGAGCAGGCACAGGTAAATACTACCGGTGGGGAGGTTTAGTACCCGGTCCTACCACCCCCCCCTCCCTCCCCTAATGCTCTAGCACGGCGAAGCAGTCCCCAAGGGACATGCCCGCATCGGGTCCCCCCAAGGGGGGCCACTCCAGCGGTGACACTTCGTTCACCTTCCCCAGGTAGGTTAGTGCCTGTCCCCGTTGGAGGGTGACTGACCAGCGCTGGCGAAACTGGTTGAGTAGTTTCGCCGCCTGGTAAGAGCTGGGGTCGGCGTTGAAGAGGCGCCGGGCAGCCGTGTGGGCTAAAAGTTTGAGGAAGACCGGCACTTCCGTGCAAGGGCAGCCGTATGTCTCGACAGCAAGCGGGAAGAAGCCGACGTACTCTGCCCTGTGGCGGTACATGTCGATCTTCTTGTCCGCCTGCTCCCTGGCCATGTAACCGCGTCCCTTGCGGGCGAGGGGGTCCCTGGAGCTGACTGGGTCCGTGACTGTGACGTCGCAGATCCAGACCGCCCCTGAGTCCCGGTCCCGGATGGCTAGGTCGGCTGTCTTGCCGTCGACCGGGTTGTATAGGGCTGTTTCTTTCGAGACAATGAGTTGTGCGTCTTGGCCCATGCGAATGCATTCGTCCCGGAGGGCGTTGTGTGTATCAGTGCGTCCGTGCCCCGTCTCTCTCTCTCTCTCTCTCTCTCTGCGATCCAGGTGAGAAGGGAATGCCTGTGCTGAAAGGGAAGATCCTTTTTTCGAGAAAGGGTGTGAGGTCTAGGTGCAGTGCGGGGTGAATCCAGGTGGGGGGGTTGGGTGGGAGGGAGGGGGAAAACGGGAGGAGGGGCATGTGGGGGGATGCTCTTTCTTTTTTCAGGTCCAGCCGACTGAAGCCATAAGCCTTCCTCCTCTCACCACCCCATCCCCACCCTCTCCTTCCTCCGCTCTCCCTACTCTCTCTCCCCCTCCCTCGCTACCTCCCCAACCCAGGTGTCAGCGACCTCGGAGGAGCAGTTGGCGGGCATAGTGAACGCGCTTGCAGAGATCGCCCAGAAGGCGGAAGGCCACGTGCCGGAGAACCCCCTCGACTCGCACACCGCGAGCCCCCGGGCCCTCTCTGCCGACGCCCTGGCCGCTATGAAAGCCGCCGCTGCCGCTGCTCTCTCCAAGGAAACTCAGTCCGCTGCTGATGCAGCAGCAGCAGAGACTGCAGCAGCAGCAGCAGCAGCAGCAGAGGCTGGGGGGTTGGTGGATGAGGGGGTGGAGGCCAGGGTAGGGGTGGAGGAGGAGGGGAAGGAGGTGGAGTACAAGTGGCGGGTGCTGGTGCTGGGCGCGGGCAGGATGGTAGTGCCGGTGATAGATACGCTGGTGCGGTTTGGCGATGGGGAGCGGTGGTGGGGGGAGGAGGAGGTGGGGGAAGGGGAGAAGCGGCACGAGGCTCTGCACGTGACGGTGGCGTCCATGTTCCTGGAAGAGGCCGTCAAGGTGAGAGAGAGGGGCAAGGTGAGAGATAGGGGAGCAAGGGCTAGGAGCTGTGAGGCGTGTCTGTGTGCGCCTGTGCGCACGAGGCGCTGCACTGCACGTGACTGTGGCGTCCATGTTCCTGGAAGAGGCCATCAAGGGGAGGGAGAGAGAGCGGCAAGGGCAAGGAGTTGTCATCCTTGTCTGTGTACACGGGGCAACCTTTTCTCTCTTGCTGCCCTGCCACGTCTTCCCACCATGCCTAGCAATCCCTCACCCCATCGCCCACCCCATCCCTCACCCCATCGCTCACCCCATCCCTCACCCCATCGCTCACCCCATCGCTCACCAGGCGGTGGAGGGCTTTGAGCACACGCACCCCATGGAGCTGGACATCAGCGACACGCCCAAGCTCGATGCCGCCGTCGCCCAGGTGAGCGGGTGGAAGCCAGGTGGTCAGAGTGTGCAATTCTTCTGAGAATCTGCACGCCACAGGTGCATTCGACAGATTGTGTCGCTTCCCTTCCCCCCCCAACCCCCACCTGTGGTGCATTCGACAGATTGGGAAGGGAATCTGCACGCCACAGGTGCTTCCCTTCCCCCCCCAACCCCCACCCCTTTCCCCTTTCCCCTTCTAAATCTTTTTTTTTTTTTTTTTTGTTTGCTTGTGTCATATGTGTCCTTCCTTCCTTCCTATCCCTCCCAGGCCGATGTGGTCATCAGCATGCTGCCGCCGGCGTGCCATATCACCGTCGCCAATGCTTGTGTCAAGGTATGCTCCCCTCGCCGGTCTTGAGGCGCCTCAAAACTAAATCAGCATGCTGCCGCCGGCGTGCCATATCACCATCGCCCATGCGTGCGTCAAGGTGCGCTCTCTTTGCCTGCCTTGCCCTACTTCTGTCACTCATCAACTTTGCCTCCTCCTCCTCCTCCTCCTCCTCCTCCTCCTCCTCCTCCTCCTCCTCCTCCTCCTCCTCCTCCTCCTCCTCCTCCTCCTCCTCCTCCTCCTCCTCCTCCTCCTCCTCCTCCTCCTCCTCCTCCTCCTCCTCAACCCCCTCGCATCTTAATCTTCATTTTCCTCTTCTTTTCCTCTAGCCCCCACTGCAATGCTGTCTCGCACTCCCCCCTCCCCCTCCCACCCCCTAGGCGAGCAATCACCTGGTGACGGCGTCCTATGTGAGCCCTCTGATGGCAGAGCTAGAAGGACACCTTCCCTCCTTGCTAGACGCTTCTCCCCTTCCCTTCTCCCTTCGTCGTCCCCCCTTCCCCCCTTCCCAGGCGAGCAAGCACCTGGTGACGGCGTCCTATGTGAGCCCGCAGATGGCGGAGCTAGACGAGCCTGCCAAGGCCAGCGGGGTCACTGTGCTCTGCGAGATGGGGCTGGACCCGGGGATTGGTGAGTGGGGCGGGGAGGGGGGAAGAGGGGGGAGGGCAAGGCATCTGCTATGCATCTGTACGTACTACTAGCTTTCTGTGGGCAAGGCCAGCGGGGTCACTGCGCTCTGCGAAATGGGGCTGGGTGGACCCTGGCATTGGAGAGAATGAGGGAGGGATGGGACTTGTCATACCACAACCTCCCCCATCCCACGCCGTCCCATCCCATCCCATCCAATTCCATGCCATGCCATCCCATCCCATCCCATCCCATCCCCACCCTTGTCATCCGCCCCTCCCCAGACCACATGATGGCCAGGCCATGGACATGGAGCAGCGCATCGAGGCGGATGGCGCATCGGCGGCACCATCAGCCCCTAGTGCCTTATGGAACACTTGTACTCTTGTTGTTTCCCGTGCTTGTTTGCCTCCCCCCCCTCCCCCCCCTTCTCCTCCCAGACCACATGCTGGCTATGGACATGAAGCAGCGCATCGAGGCGGATGGTGGCACCATCACGTCCTTCGTCTCCCTCTGCGGCGGCCTGCCGGCCCCTGGTGCGGCGGACAACCCCCTGGCGTACAAGTTCAGCTGGAATCCGAGGGGCGCGCTGCTGGCGGGGCGCAACTCCGCCGTCTATAAGAAGGACGGTGCACTGGTGGCTGTCAAAGGTACGTGGGTGTGACTACCTGATTGTCAAGCTGGAACCTGATTGTCAAGGCCATGGGCTGTGCTTTCCAGCTGGAATCTCCCCCCACCATGCCCTTGACTATCTAATTTGATCTCTCTAGCCTTCATCACATGCGCTCCTTCTCTCGTTTTCCTCTCACATTTTCCCCTCTCCCCTCACCGCTCTCCCCCCTCCAACCCTCCTGCCCCCCCCCCCCCCCCCCCCCCCCCAGCGCCCCCAACACCTCCATCAGGAGAGGATCTTTTTGCCTCGGCCCAGACTCTTCCGTCTTTAAAAAACACCGTGTGTCAGCTTGTCCAGGTGTATTTTGAGTCGACTCAAAATGCTCTCCCCGCTCCCCCCTCACACCTCAATCAGGAGAGGATCTTTTCGCCTCGTCCCAGACTCTCCGCCTTCCCCATTTCCCCGCCTTTGCGCTCGAGGTGCTTCCCAACCGCGACTCCCTCGGCTACGCCGACTACTACGGGCTCAGCAACCCCGACCGCACCGTTGCTGCTGCCGCGGATGCTGCTGCTGCAGCGGCGGCGGTTACTGCAGAGACTATGTTCCGAGGGACCCTGCGCTATGAAGGTGCGTCTTGTGGTGAGAGTACTGGTCCAGACTCCAGACCTCCAGGTAGCAACACTGCAGTTACTGCTGTGGCTGCAACGGCGGTTAGTGCAGAGACCATGTTTTGGGGGACCCTGCGCTATGAAGGTGCGCCTCGTGGTGGCGTTGCTACTCCTGGTTGTAGAATGGTTGATGCTGCTGCTGCTGCTGCTGCTGCTGCCGTTGATGTTGATGTTGATGTTGTGGTGCTGCTGCCACGGCAGTTACCGCACAGACCATGTTTTTGGGGACCCTGAGCTATGAAGGTGATCGTATTGTTAGTTGTGCGTTGCTGCTTCTGCTGCTGCTGCTGCAGCGGCAGCGGCGGTGGCAGTTGCAGTTACTGCAGAGATTGTGTTCCTATGGAGCCCTGCGCGATGAGGGTGCTTCTTGTGTTTGGCGCCATACTCTTGGCCGGCCTGGCAGCACAAGGTCTCTTCAACCAAGCCCTTCCACGCGCTCGCTCCTCTCCATTCCCTTCGTGATTTTTGAGTCGACTCAAAAATTTCCTCCACTCCTTTGGTGACTTGTGAGTCGACTCAAAAGTCACGTGCTCGCTCCTCTCCATTCCCTGCCTGCACTCCTTTCTCCCTGCCACTTTCCACCTCCTTTCCCTCCTCTCCCCCTCACAGGTTTCAGCAGCATAATGGCCGGGCTGGCAGCGCTAGGCCTATTCAACCAGGACCCCCACCCGCTCCTCTCCGTCCCGCGCGCTGCTGCCGCCGCCACAAAGGCCGAGGCCGACCCCACCGCTCCAGCCACCACCGAAGCCCCTCGCGATGACGACGATGCGCCCCTCCCGGCCTACCCAACCTATGCCTCCTTCCTGCACGCCCTGGTTACCACCGCGGGGCGGCTG